GCTAGGAATAAAAATCTGCACCCTAATATTTCTCTTTCTCATTCATTTATTCATTTGGCAATGTATATTGAATGCCTACTGTGTGCTACCAGGAATACAAAAAAGCAAAAATTTTTCTTTTTACTGAGCTAACGTTCTCATGAGAAAATCTTGCTACAAGGGTTTTCTTGCCCAGGGTTCGCTTCAAATTTTGAAGATTCCTCCAAGATATGGAGAGTGCTCTGTGAGAATGCACGCCATTTTAAAAGCACCAGGAGCATACGAGTAACTTCCTGCCACAACATCACAGAATGCAATTTGATTCTGTTGGGTAAACAGTAATTTCAGTATCTACAAAACTACTTGCAAATCACAACAAGAGGAACTTGCTTGCATTCTGCTGTGGTAATGTGGCACATGCTCTGGTTCCATGTCAGTTCCACCAGGTTTGACTCTCCCACTCATAATAGCTCAGTCCTCCACCAGCAGTGCAGTTGAAATGCTCCAATCCAGACAGCAGATGGGACAGCAGGAGGTCCTTCACCTTGCAAACAAACAAATGGCAGTGAAAATTATTCATGAATGTATTATGACAACAGAAAGCAAACTCCTCTGAGAACTTAGTATGACACTACTCTCTAACTGGTCCCAGTCACCTTGCGGCACTAGACATTGGCCTCCTTCAGTGCAGAGACATCCTCTCCCAACAGTCTTGGCAGCCATTGCTAGGGGTTTATTCTTGCTCTGAGCACAAATGGTCTCTAATATTCACCAAATCTTAGGTTAATCTTTGCATTATCATACTCCAAACTGCAATTATCCTCCATGATTGACAAAGACTCTTTCAGTCATTGCTTACCCCCTGAATGCACAAGGACTGACCCAAACCCTCTCCCGGCCCTGCTGCCACAGCTGCACCCTTGAGCTCCTAATACGCTGCCCTCGTCCTCCTGGCTGGGCCCTGAAACAATGAGCACCGGCTTCACAGGCATCCAACCCCATTCTAACTGGTGTTCCAGAATATTGGGTGAAACCTCAGGAAGGACATGAGGAGCCTGAGTCCCAAACACAGTGGCAGGAGCACATGTGCACTCATGCTCTCGGGCCCATTCCAGTCAGCACGTCAGAGAACATGTGGTGCCCACTTTTCTGATTTAGAAATCTCAGGCAGAGAGGGAAATGTCAGGAGTCCCTGGGATAATAGGTCGTCTGGGATGCGAGGGAGGCTTCCCACCTGCCTCAGCTCTGCTCCTCTCTGGCAGTACGTGAGAATGAGGGCATTGCAGGGATAAGGAAACTGCAGAGTACCTTTTCTTAAATAAAAGATTGTGAAGACCTGATACGTTAGTGTTGTGATCTAGAGAGAAGGAGACGATGACTTTTCATTTACATTGGAGAGTGAAATACAGGTTACAGTCTTGAGTTTCATCTTCTGAAAAGATCATAGAATGTGGTGCAAGGTCAGACTGGCATGAAATCAATTGTAATCTGCCAGCAAGTCATTCTACCCTCCTTAAGAGTTTCCTTTTATATACATTTTCCCTTTATAGAGAGAGCAAAGCACATTTAAAGAAAGCCTCATCAAATCAGAATATCTTTCTAACATTATGTTTTTAATTGGCTGCTACTGTGGTTGTGACCTGAAGCCTCCTGGTACTTAACCCTCTGTGCGACTTTGACTAATGAACGGATTTCAACTGCTGTGGCAGTCTTGCTAAATGTCTTTCATGGGGTTTTGAAAAAAAATTAGTGTATTATGAAAACCAAAGATTCCTCAACCTAATTGATAGCCTGTTGGTGATGCCATCACTATAAACTGTAATGTTCCGTAAGTGCATGGACCTAACTATTTTTCTTATTTTAATATATATAGCAGTTCCATTATATAATGACATTAAGCCATTCTGAGCATTACTTTTCTGGACAGTTATTGCACTTGGATAGAGAGTGTCATCTGGCTTTTAGCCTGTGCCTTACAACACCAACTGAGGCGTAAAATGATCACCCAGAAAATGTACTGGGCCTTACCTCATTACTTAAAAATAAATCTTGGAGTCTGGTTCTGTTTCAGAAAAGATTTGGTGGGTTATAACATTTGATTTATGAACATAATTAAAATATAAATGATGAGCTCTGAGCTATTCAGTCAGCCATCTGGATTGTTCGGTATTTTGACATACTACTCATATTGTAGTCAGGATCTTTCAGCAAAATTTTAACATCCCTGAGTTCTAGAGGTGCCAGTGGAATCCCAGGGTTTATAGTCTACCTGTTGAGAATACTTAAGTTCCTCTTTCAGTGTAAAGGATGGAGAACAGGATTTGTCAGGTTTTCTTCACTTAGTGAGGAATCTTGGCGCACAGACCTCCTGTTTGGCTCCTAGGCTGGGCGTGAAGATAGCTCAGCTGCCCCCTGGTCAGATAATGTGCCTGTAAATACTGCACGTGTCAACAGAGGAAGACATTTTTTCTGTATACAAGCAAGATTAATGTTTACATTTTCACTTAGCTATTAAGGTAACTGGCAGCTGTACCCATAAGTAGATTGTAGATGTTTCTCCAGAAGCTTAAAGTGTAAATTAGGAAAATCACTTATCAAAAATGACAGTGCATTTTCTATGGCTTAGAATACGATTTCTTAAAAATAAGTTCCAGGTATAGCAAACTCATAGCTTATTATTCCTAATTTATGTGAGTAATTCACAACTGGTAAACAGCCATTAGTAACATAAAAAAAAAAAAAAAGACACTTAACCAAAACAAACTCAGTTGTACTGAAAAGGCATAGTAGGGTAGATTTTTCAACACTTTATTATTAATGGAAGTTGAGCATGTAAAACTCTTAGTACACTTTGCTGAAAAATATACCCTCTTTGTTTGCTTGCAAATAGCACAAGGGAGAAAAACAAAAAGCCTTTCACACAGGCCAGCAAGCATTCTGCTTCTTCTTAATTAACGGGCTAAAGTCAGCAGCGCATGGAAAATGGAGTCCTTCCGTGAATCAGATTAACCTTTAAGCAAACGTTACATTTCAGCCCAAATTTTGGGCTTTAAATTTATTCTCACCCCAAATGGTTCATGGGTAAGAATGACGGAGGTTCTCTAACCAGGAACTCTGTAACTGATGCTGTTTCTGAGAATGAACTGTAAGTGGGCAGGTCTCTTATTGTCTGTGTTTTTTGTTGTTTTTCTATATTGTGTTTGTTTCCAATAAACTTCACCAACTAGCTCTCTGTGTGTAAGCTAGACCCACAGTCATCCCATGGTTGTATTTTAGCCTAAGGTGCACTCTGTAGCTCCCAAAGGAGATGCCCAGGAGCTCTTGCTTCCACCCAGCAGTCAGTCCTCATTCAAGGTCATCCTCTTTATTCTCTATTTCTGTCTTTCTTTAATGGCTACCTTCCCAACCCAGTATCTGGAAACCTCTGCACCATTTTGCTCTTAAACATTTCTTTAGCCAGCAAGTCTAAGAATAGAACCATGTTACTTGCAAGGGTCATCTAGAGCTTGAGGCCCGTTGACTTATGTTCTCTGGCAAGTTACTTAGCTTCTCAGAAAACATTACCAGCTCCCTGCATGCAGTGCACAGGCTATACAAGAAGGCCCTCTTAAAAAGTCGTGAATGTCACATGATTTTCACAGACATAAGAGAAAGATCTCTGACAGGAACGGAAACTTGAAGAACACATCTGGAAAGCAGCCATCCCTACAAAAGACTTCTTGTGTAGCTTATTTATCAGGGTTCAGGTTGAGATGGGTTGAGCCCTGCCCTACGTCTCTTTTCTCCCTTATTCCATAGGATGAATGTTAATGAGCTTACCACTGCTTGTAAAAGGCCAAGGGGCTGTTGTTTAGGTGGTGTGGTTGTCTGACAAAGTGCAGTTATGGAAATTGTTTTGACCTTTCAGCCAACAGATGTCTTGACCTCTCACATTTATTACTCTTGGGTCCATTTTCAAAAATACACATTTGCAGAGTCACAGAATTAAATGAGAGACTGATTTAAGAATTAATAACTTGTTAGCTCAGAATAGAAAAAAAAATTCCAATTTCATCTAGGTTTTATTTGTAAATGTATTTGTATGTGTATTTAATTCCAGCCACTCCCATTTCCTTCCCTACTACCTGTACCTCATTCATTCAGTTCTCATACCCACAGCCCCACAAACTCACAAATAGTTTTTAAGCAGCAAGTGGAAATAAGAATACCTAGATCACCTACCCAAGTACTACCCTGCAGTAGAAAGCTATATTGGTTTTAACAATGGATTGCTACTGGGAAATGTGGTTTTGAATCAGAAATTTCTCCCAGCACACATTTCAAGGGACTGTGTCTCATTAGGTTCATTTCTACTTCATTCTCAGCACCAGTGTTCTCAGCCCCTAAACTGGGGTTACCAATTATGGTTCCCACAATAGTGGCCTCTCAGTAGACTGTCAGTGTCCGTCCTTCTTATTTATATGTTTACATTGAGAAGTCAGAGTTTAATTAGGGGCCACCAGAATCTCCCATTTCTTTATTTTTAAAGCTGTTTGAGTAGAATGCAGAAGTTTCGCCTTTTCCATTTGAAAACAAGAGCAAAGAAGAGGCAAACTTATTAATATGTGGTGTCACAACATATTGTCACATAGTAATATATGATATATGATAAAATGTATCAATTCCAAGCACCACAAATATCTGTGGCTTCACCTCAGCATGAAAGCAAATGAGTTTCCTTTAGCTTGAGTGAGTTTGGAGATAAACTTCAATGTTACAAAATGTATTTCACAGGAAATGTTTGATGTGGCGCAGTTGGCTTATGAATCTCTTATCTATTCGCAGTTCACTCCTTAGAGTTATTAGTCAATTTAATTTGAGCAAATGCCAGGATTACTAACTAATTAGAGGGATGTTACTGAAAGCAAAAGGATAGGGAGAGAGTGAGTGCTGGTACTGTGGGGTTTGTGGAAGCACGCAGGTCTGATTTTGCCTGATGATATCATTTGCTAAACATTATATTTTGTGTTGTTGTCATACAGATAAGCCTCAAGTGCATATTCAGATGACTTACCCTCTACAAGGCCTAACCCGGGAAGGGGACGCGCTTGAGTTAACATGTGAAGCCATCGGGAAGCCCCAGTAAGTTCTGAAGGCCAAGGTTGGCAGAGGGTCATGAGCAGTATATATCACGACACAGACATGTGCATTCACAACTCATTGGCCTGTAACATGTCTCGTGCTGTAAAGAATGGAATATTTTTAGGAAATAAAAGGATACTCAGTGGAATAAATATCAGTGTGGTTCATACTGATGACAATGGGGAGAAAAATGAAATGCCAGCTCAGATCGAAACCTCAGCTAATTCTGTTTTATTATCATCAATATGATTGTTAGAACTATTTTCTCTCACACACACACAAAAAATCCTAATAAATTTTTAGTGTGCCCACAGTCTAATGATATATCTGCTACCTCTATGTTAATATGTAAGCTGCTGGAAAGATAGTTTTTAGATATGAAATTAAGCTGTTGTGTTTAGGGCCAGCCGTAGGCAAATGAATTTGCCCTACCTTTAATTTTGCCTCTCTTTCCCTCAAAGAAATGTAACTCTAGAAATATTTTTGTTAATAAGGAATGATTCAGGAACTTTTCTCGAGATATATGAAAAGAAGCAATGAACACTTATTCTATTGAAAGTATGAAGAAGCTACTTTATTGGCGCCTGTTAAATGAATGAAGGTGAACTAGAGAAACTATGTATCATCGCTAATACAGCAAAAGACATGTGGTGGTACCACTTTAGAGATTATTCAGTTTAGTTTGGGGAGGAGGAAATTTTTCTTTCATGTTTCTGGTAGAGTGAAGATTGGTGTTAACCGTTTCCTAGGGGAAAAAGTAATCCATGAAATCATAAGATGGTACAACAGGTCAATGCTGGTATTAGCACTCAGACTTGTAGTGGTCTGCAACAAAAAAACAGCATTGAGCTCCCTCTGCTGTCCCTGTGGTATGATACTTTTTTTCTTCTCGAAGTTTTGCTAACCAGCATCATGATCACCATTTTCATATAAGGAACTTAGAGCATCTTTAAAAAACTCCTTTTTCCCCAACACAGCTAAGGAATGACCTATGACAAGAGACGGGGCAGCCAAAAGGAGCCTGGCTGCTGTTGGCTCTCTCTTCTCACTTCAACCCTTCCGATTTTGTCTTTACCTCTCCAAGGACGAGAATTTGCTTCTCAATGTACTATCCCCTTGGAGTTTGAAAGATGACCTGTAGGAACTAGGAGGTACTCTTAGTCTCTTTTGCTTTCCTTCTGGTGTTCCACAGTTATTTGGTTTTAAACACTTCAAACTTGGGCAGAGTGATCTTTTTGCTTTGAACACTGTGAAAGACTCAGATCTTTCTTTTTGAAAACTGTTTGAATTATGCCCTAGTCAGCAGCTTACCTTACCTCCAAAACAATCCAGAAGAGGAAAAAAATTCTCACAGGCCTCTTACTACTTCTGATATCTACATTCAGACACATTAACCACATTTACAGTATATGGCTTACTAACACATATTTTGTTTCTCTATTTTTTTTTCTCCTGAAGATGGTACTGCGTTCAGTTTAATGTGCCACGGGTACAGTAAATTACATGTTTCCTTCAGGACGCTTAGGCCAGAGAGGGTATTTGTTTGTTTCTCTCAAATAGGACTGGGTATGTGGTTGTATGAGCAAGCACGTATACTCTGCTGCTGTCCCTTCTAGCATATTACCTATTTATTTTCTCAAGAAATTGAATACAATAAAAGTGGTAATTTAACTTGCCATTAAATGTTGTGAATATTCTCAGCACTTACCCCTACTGATTGTTTCAGCTGTCAGACAGCAGGACATTAGGTCTGATTGCCAGGCAGACCCATTTGCCACTGCCTGCAAGGAGGACATATGCAGTACTAATTTTTAAATAATTTACTGGGTTGTGATGACAAACTCATGTGTAATTAAAGGAAAATTGTAACTACACAGCCCATTTGAAAATTGGAATGCTACTTGACAAGGCTAACTTGAGTATCCATTCATCACTGAGCATGGGTCTTTTGTCATGTCACTGCACCCAGAGGTAGTGCTAGGAACCGAAGGGAAGTTACCTCTGTGCTTGAGTCTGTGTTGCCCTTCTTTAAAGTGAAATTCTCCAGGCACAATCCTATATGTGGCCTTGATTTCATAGGAGATTAAAGGAGCTGCCTTGAAGAACGAAACTTGTAAAGTCAGTGCATTTGAAAGATGATCTGTGCAGTTTTGGCTCTGGAGCATCTTGCTTTTTCCTGATGGATACAAAGTGGTACTTGAATCATTAAAACAAACTTTTCTCTGATGAGCAAGTGCCATAGGACTCAGGAGTCCATGTGGTGATGTACTCCATGGTAATTCGCCAGGGAGCGGCTCTCTCCAGCTGCAGGGCTTGCAGGTGCACTTCACAGGGCTGGGCAGGAGGCAGCGGGGCCACAGGCGGGCCTTGGAGAGCTGTGAAAGAAGCATCCTGCCAGGAGGCATGTAGATAAGGTGGACTGGGATGCAGAGGGTGCAGTGGCTTTTAGGGCTGGAGGATGGGCCTTGAGGCCAGAAGTGATCCCTTCTTTCCAGAATGGTAAAAGGTGATTTTTCTAACAGCAGAGCCCAAAAGAAAGTGCTATTCAGATATAAAAGTCCATTTCTTTGTGTGAAACTTGAAATCCATTTAAATAAGACAAGTGTCTTATAAGCAAGTGTCTTGGAGTGTCAGTAACCATCAGATTAATGCAGGTATCACTAGCCAAGAATTTGATTTTTTCCCCTAATTAATGAGATCATTAACAATGGGTGAGCTCTGTCCTACCTGAGTTGGTGTGAAACCACGCAGCAGGGCATAACAATAGGGCGCATTGGCTATTTGCTGATTTGCTGGAGATAAACTGGAAATAATGAGACTCCTGTTTGTGGTGTGTTGAAAATTTTTCAACACCTGATAGTGTTCAAAGAAAATTGTATTTCCAACAAATTTTTGGAGCCTTCACAGTTGTAATTCTGTGAACTTAAACCATCTCCAGTAAGTCCTCTTTAATTGTGTTACCCTGCATGTGATTCATTTAACGTGTGTTGAGAAGTTTGATGTAGACATCTTAGTGGGAAATAATAATGCAACCTGTCTTTCTCCCCTTTCCTCACAGGCCTGTGATGGTAACTTGGGTGAGAGTCGATGATGAAATGCCCCAACACGCTGTACTGTCTGGGCCCAACCTGTTCATCAATAATCTGAACAAAACAGATAATGGTACCTACCGCTGTGAGGCCTCAAACATAGTGGGGAAAGCTCACTCGGATTACATGCTGTATGTATACGGTACGTGAGCCAATCAAATGCTCTTCTGTTAGACTCACTCCCAAAGCTTTCAGTCAAGTTGAAAACCAAAAACCTGGTTGTTTCCTTCAAGAACTTAAAGAAGCCTGGCCTGAGGTGGACCCAGTGTCTCCAGTAGGAGGGCAGTGACTTTTCTTCTCTCCCTCTGATTGCGGGGATTTCCCGCCAGATCAGTCTCTGGCCGTGCTGAGTAAGAAAGCTTGTCCTTAGGCACACAGTATGGAGGTTACATTAGAAATCATGACTGCCAAATTCGACCTTACCAAGTGATAGTTTTTCAGTTTACAAAGTGTATTCCCAATGGTGTTTTCCTATATGATGCCTGGCTCAGCCTTTCTCCTGCTTTGATGAGCAGAATTATCCTATTTTCAGCATGCAGCTATTACAAGAAGTGTTCCAAACCAGTAAATACTTGGAAAAAAATATAAGGTCCTTGATATCTACATTAATCACCCATAGGTTCTGCCTTCGACCCATTTTATTAAAATTTGTCTGCTTTCATAATATTTTTACGTGATTGTTAAAACACGTTATAATGAATTGCATTCTCTAATCAACAAATATTTATTAAGCATCTGCCGTGTGCCAGGCATTTTAACTTCTCTCCCATTTATATATAATATTATTGTCAATTTTGTATATGGTGAATATTTTATACTCAGTTAAAGAGTGTACTGCCTGTAGTCTAATGAGGACAAATTGAGTCTCTTCTGTTCAGGTGAAGTTCTTGGTTAGTCTTATACCAGAAAAAAGTCATAAACTGACATGACAGAATGAGTAACCACAGGCAAGGAAATTTCAGTGTCTTAAAAATGTATGAATATATGAGTGCATTTCTTTCTTCATGTTAGCAGTGTAACATGTACACACATAAACTACATGTCAAATATTTATTTATAGCATACTGTCTTAGAACCTGGCCACTTTCTTTATGGAGAAAATAAAAATCACATTCTTTTTTATAAAATAGAAGCATGCTTTATACCATATCTACATGGATATTAAAATATAATCTATAGCCTATACCTGAGATTTTTTTTTCCTTAGCATAATGCAAAATTAAAGGATCACATCTAATCACCTTATTAGTAGACTTCTGAGGTATGTTTTCTTGGCACACTGCCCGTGTTGTCTGTGGTCTGCAAATAATAGCATTAATTTTCCCTAGTAGTCAAGGACATCGAAATGCAGGAAATGACTTTTCCATGGAGGTGTGAGGGTACGCCCCATTTTTAGTTGACTATCCACAGAGCTACCCCTATTCCTCAGAGTGTCCGTGATCTGCTGATAGGTAAATCCCTCCCTCTGGCTTCTGCATTCATCCCCTCTGCTCTCTGCGCATCCGTGTTTAAACCGCATTCAAGTCCCTACGTTGCTGTAACAACCCACATTTACAGACTTCCATTCAACTCTTTTTTAAACTGCAGATTTTAAAAAGCAGTGACAAATTTCCACCAATCTGTTAAATACTTCCTTGATTCAGAAGACTAAAATATCTAGGAAAAAAATGTTGATTTATTGTATCTACTGTTCCTACACTTGAGAAACATTTTAAGGATTTGATGGACAGCTATATTTGAGTAATTTTGGATACTAGCTTACAGCTAGTATTTATTGACTGTTCACTTCATCCCACACCCTAGGATGACTGGCTGTTTTACACACATGATCACTTCTGATCTCCATAGTAACATCACGAGGTAAGCATAGTCATCATCCCATTCTACAGATGATAAAATGAAGCTTAGAAAGATCACATAGCTTGTCCAAGTTCACAAGGTTACTAAATCAGAACCACAACACTTTGACTCCAAAGTCCACAGTGAAATTTATATCTTTTTTTGTAGTTCCTTTTGTTCTCACTGCTTTCCAATAGAACCATTCCCTCTAATATAAGATTGCTCTTTTGAAATTAACTCACTGGGCCAGAGCGCATAATTTGAAAGCCAAGAGACGTAGAGACCTACATTGTAGGTGAGCCCACCTACATGCACATATCGCCCCAACCCCAGATAATGGCTTTATCTTTAACTAGGGATTTGCTAGATCCGCAATACCCACCCTCCCTCCCTCCCTAAATCTGTGCTCCTCACGAGTGTTGGAATGGCAAGCTAGAATACAACCTGAGGTGTTGCTAGTCTGTATTCTAATAATAAAATATTCCAGCAATATGAGATGGTAAATAGCTTTTCTTTTCAAAGCTGATTTGCTGTACTAGTACATTAACTTTCAAAGTACTTCACGAACTAAGATTAACATGCCTTTACAATGTTTAATTCTCTGAAAGTAACTTGTATACCTTAAATCTATCTGCTCCTTGCCTGAGCCCCAATTTGTTTTGTTCTTTTAGCTTACATGTGTCAAACCCAGCTCAGAAGCTCTAGTATTGTATTTTTAAGTAGTGACCTCATATTGCTCTTATTGCTAGAAATGATCTGAGCATTGAGGTTTTTACCTGTTAACAGAATCTAATTCATTTAGGTCACTTCAGCCAGATATGAAGGACAACATTTACCCTGGTAGTGATAAAAATAATTGAAAATGTGTGATTTTCACAAAAATGAAAAGAATGGTAACCTGAAGGCTCCGCCCTCATTAGTCTGGTCCAGTCCTTATTTATAATCTCGTTTTCAAATCACCTTCAGGTCCTCTGATTGTATTGTGGACATCACATATTTTGTGCCAATACTTTTACAGATAGGTACAGAAATAGCATTATAATATATCAGGGGAAGTCTCCCAGGTACAAGTGTTCCTTTCCAGTGATAAAAATTGTAATTGAACCAGCACAGAGAAACCACATTAGCTGCCTACATGCTGTACAGCAGGCACCTCTCTGAGTACAGTTGATCTGGGTACAGGAAGGAGCAGGAAGTCTTCAGTGCTCGGCTCTGGGGCCAGTGTGCCCCGCTCATCTGCACCTGCACCTGCAGCAGGGAGCAGATATATCCAAATGATCTGCCAGGTCACAAAATGCTTCCCCACCTGTGGCCTCCATTAGTAAGTGTCTAAGGAGCAAGACTGAACATACTGCCTGTTCTTCTTAAAAGGTAGTTTGAAATTACTAATTTAAAGATTTCTACTTCTTGGAGGAGAATGAGGTTTTTTGCTTGTTTGTGTTTAATGGATTCCTTCTGGACTTGTGTGAGGCTGCTTTAAACTATAGCTTAAACTCCTCGTGTCCCTAACTTAAATTAATAATGTCTCCTGTAAAATGGAAGAATTTGCCGTTGATTCACTATCAAATTTGTACATTTGTGTATTATGAGAGAAGAATTCTGTGAGGGGTATTAAAACCTAGGATTATTGATCAATAGTAGGAATCATTGCAAGCAGACCTTACAACCAAGAACCAAGATAATGTTTTCATAAACTTTCAGGAAGTTGTACAAATCCCAAAAAAGGTGCAGTATATAATTAAAGTTTTGATGGATTAATTAGACAATCTGAGAGCTCGCTTGGAGATAAAAGGACACCGGATGTGTCAGGGAGGAAAAAAAAATGATGTGCTTTAGATAAACTTTAAAATCAAAAGCCTTCAATCATCTTGTGCCCTATTATAGCGGAATGATCACTTAGTTCAAAGTCTTGCTGATAATTTAACACATTCGGTTTGATCATTTGGGCTTAGAATTTTTTTCCCTTTCATACTTGCCCTTCCCTTTTCGCCAAAATAATTTTTGTGATGATAGAATATACAGTTATCAAACATCTGACAGAGGATTCCCTTTGGGATTACTGGCTTTGAGGGTCAAACCTCATTTATACTTAGTTCTCCTGTTTACAAGATGGAAAACATTCTTTCAGTTTTATCATTGTCATCCACTCAGGTCAAGCTTTTAACATGAGCAAAGGCAACTAACTTATTAATATTGATAAGTTGTAAGATTTTATTGACTTTTAAAGAATAAAATCTCAGTAAAATCTCCCATGCCTGGAACTTGATATTTAGTGGTGACATTCTCTCTTCTTTGTATAGAAGTATACGGAGTATAGCAGTAGTTTTACTTCCTGCTGGGGTGTATTGATGCAGAATAATGAAGTTAACAGACATAAGAGCAAGGGAGCAGGAGCACACTCATCCTTGGCAGATAGGAGCCCTTTAGATAGAGCGGCACCACCTCCTCCTTCCTTCTATTTATGAAAGTATGAAATGAAATGACAACCATCGTACCTTCTTGGGTGCCAAGTTAGTTAACCTCACCTTTGAAATTGGATTGAATTGGGGTGGGTGTGTCAGGTATTTGATTTTTCCTCCCTTCTCTGCTTCCCATTTCTTCATCCCTAGTTCACTTCATTAATACAAATCTTTTTTCTTCTTTTCTTAGCTCTTCCAACTAAGGCTTTGGAATATAATTAGAAGACATAAATCTTTGGGGGAAAACTTTCCGTTTTAAAGGGGGAAGTCATCAAACAAACATCTCAGTGTCCTCATGCCTTTGTTTTGTCATTACTGGTCATTGTTGTGTTCAGCATTGTGGGTTTGATTTTCCTTTTTTTTTTTATCCAGATCCCCCCACAACTATCCCTCCTCCCACAACAACCACCACCACCACCACCACCACCACCATCCTTACCATCATCACAGGTATGGTACCTTCATTACCATTAAAAATGTCCTGAATGTATATTGTCTTTCTGGTATTTATAAGAAGAAGCCAAAAAGTTCCCTTTAATCCTTGGGATTTAATTGTTCCTTTATTTTGGAACTTCAAAGACTGTTCTTAGGTTGAATCTTAAGGACCTCAGAAAATCTTTAACATTCAAGCATTTAACAGTAGATCAAATATTTTGCAGCTTCCCCACAAGAGAATTCTTTTCTAAGCATCACTATTCAAAGCAAAATGCTAGGGAAAATTGGCACTCTGGTTTATGCTTAGCCATGGTTGATGAAATGGTAAGTATTCTGGCTTTGGATCTTCCTTGTCTTAATTTCATCTTAATCCCTGTGAAGAAAAATACACACCCTTTAACATGACCATGTGGGCCATGTTCCTAAGTGCATCGTCATCCTTCCTGCCCTGCAGAGCCCATCCTGCCCGTGTAAACTGCCTGGTCAGAGGGAGTCACTGTCTTTTTCATGTTTGTACCCCTCACTGTCCTCAGTTAAATGTTGGAGGGTGAGGAAAGGCAGCCACAGGTGTGGTAATCTGTGGCTTTATCTCTTTGGACTGTGAAGCTCTTATTCAAAATGAGATTTCCTGTGTCTTATTTCTGACTGTCACTGGTGGAGGAGATATGCCATCCATCCACTTCCTGGACTCCAGTGGCTCTCATAGTGCTTGACATTGCTTACCTGGGAGCCTTGGGGTGTCCTCTGTCTACCAAAGTAGAAAGGGTTATAACTAGACATGCGAGATTTCCTTAGGTAAGGCCTCTGCAGCCCACTGCTGGCACAGAAACATGGAGAAGTAATTATTCTATGAGAAAAAAGAAACGCTTTTAGAAATAACTTTTCTATGTCATTCTGTTGTTTGATGAGACTGCAAGGTCCTCTCTGAGCCATGTGCCCAGGAATACAATTCTAACACTGGACTTTCTTAAAAACACTGAATATTCTACTCATCATTCTTCACATGTAAATCCTCTTTACCACCCTAGATATGGAACCATCATTTACGTTGACTTTCTGGAGACATTTTTAATTTTCACAGGAGTCAGTGAGATAGATATGATGGAAATTGAAAGAACTCAGTGAAAGAAGAGGCCTCATCAGTTTATGAAATATAGGAATACATTGTCTAAACTGAGTTTTCTTCACCTTTCTAACCATGCAGTGAAACAAAGAGAACTTTAAGTCACTAGTGAGGACTTTTTTTAATGTTCTTTATGAAAACATCAGTGCCTTAATTTAAAATCTTCAGAAAATCCATCCTGACCAGTGTGTGTCAGTTGGTTGGTCATGGTCCCCCACAACAAAAGGTTGCTGGTTCAATTCCCAGTCAGGGCACATGCCTAGGTTTCAGGTTTGGTCTACATGAGGCAACCAGTTGATGTTTCTCTCCCTCTCTTTCTACCTTCCTTTCCCTTTCTCTAAAACAAAATAAATACATAAATTAAAAAAAATTAATCTTCTGAAAATCCATCAATTGGTTTTTGTGTCTCACTCTAAACTCAGCTTTCTCAAGGCTGCTCCCTATATTCTTGTCTTACCCACAAGAGAATTCTTGTCTGTGTGTATTTCTGCTTTAGATTTTTTTTAAGTTCCTCTGCTTCTTAAGTAAACTTAGCTTGTCAATATAGTGAATAGATTCCTCCCACTTTCTGGATCATTGATTAGGTACAGTAAAGATGCTCCTTTCTAACTCTGATTTCCAGAGCAACCATGCTGTCAACTTCCCATCCTATGAACTAGGTTATTTACCTTTTATGATGTCTTACCTATTATCCAGGTTGTACACAAAATTGGGCTTGAGCTTGTTACAAGGTTTTCATAAAGTCTCCTGTGAGCTTCCCTTTGGATGTCAGTGTAAATTACATCACCCCATTCTCCACTGTCTTGCATGTGATCCCTTTAAGAGTACCTGCAGCTGTCTATGTTGTCTTTGTAGAAGTTGCCCAGATATACACCAGCCTTCTGTTAGCTCTCACTCTAGAATAGTCTGTGTATATCCAGCCATGTTTACAGTTGAAGGTAGTAAAGGCCTTACTCATTTTATACCAACGCCACAGTTCTCTTTAGCATGGAACAACACTTTTCATTTGTGGCCTCTCACTAGTTTAAGCTGCTTTGTTGTTGGTGGTGGTGGTGTTGTTTTTAAGTCCTTTTTTAACACTCCCTGTCCTTCTCCCTGCTTACAGTCAATTTCAGCAACCGAACAGAGGTGCTTCAATTCCCACTGTAGTCCTTCACTCCAGACTACCGCTAATCTTACGTCTTCAACCAGCTACAAGTCTTGTTTTCAATTCATACTGTAGAGACTTCGTTTAAGAGGAAATTTTTAAAATAAACAATGCTATATTTCTCTCCACATCAAGTTTCCTTTAATAGGGAACTTGTCCTGGCTTCTCTTTCTGCTCCTGGCCTCTCAGTTCAAGGTAATGTAAGATGATCTCATAGGTGCACTTTAGCCTTCTGATGTTAGCAGCTGACCCTTCTCTGCACACAAAGTGCATTTGTGGTAATGAATTCCCAGATTCTCAGTGGCACACCCAAGAGTAGTTAAGCTAAAATTGCCACTAAAACAACGTTGTAGAATCAGTTGCCTTAATGGATATGATCTTAGAGGCTTACTGTGTCTTAACAGACAGTCATTCATATATATTTATTTATTTATCTTACCCAGAAAGTGCACCTGTGGAATTTAACATTTACTCCTTTCTTCAAACAGATTCAAAGTTATGGAGCTGAATGATTCTGTTTCCTATTTTAAAGGCCCAGGCTATCCCCTAGATGTAAATTGGTTCCAAAAAACTTTTCCAAACTGAACTTTGACAAATGGATAGCTAAATTAATTTCCACTCTTCATCTCTCTTGCACTGTTTGGTATATTACCACCACCATTAGCCTTAAAAGCTTCAACAGCTAAATCTAATGACAGTAACATAAAACCTGAGCTTTAAAAAAAGAAGCAGCAGCCCATAGTCGTCTATTTCTTTTCTCCCAGTCACATGCAATAACCGAAACCCATTCCCCAGGTCAGAGTTTCATTACAAGAAAATGTACAAATGCAATAGAAAAGTATTTTTATACTCAAAAGGTCATAGTTGATTTCTGATTTCTCTGAAAGGAAGTATTCCATTGTTATATTTTATCTTCTGGAGCCAGGATAATGGAATTGTTCCCTCGTTAGGGAGGCAGGTTGTCACGGAGTTTGTAGTCACTCAACTCCCTCAAAACAGGTTAAAGCTTCATCTCAGAGACCCTGGAAAGAGAAGAATTGTACACCCAGTCTGGTTCAAGGTTGCCCACTCAGAATCACAGACTCGATGGATGGGAGGAACAGAGCGTCTCTGTCTTCCTTCTCCTGTGTGGAGCAGGTCCGCGGCATGTGAAGGGTAGTTTCATCTATGGAAGGATTCCTGCAGCCTCCAGAGTACTGAAAGGAATATTCAGTGTCAGTTTGCCTTGTCAATATTGTTATGGTTTTACAAGCTTATAAGGCCATTAATATTATCAGGATCTCTATCCAAATTAAAAAACAAAAACAAATACCACCTGAGGGATAGAATCGGGAGCCATGCAGAGCCTTAATGTGATTTCATGTACATTGATATCCTGACCATATATTTTTGTTTCAACTACTGCTATTGGTAGGCCCCCACCCCCCTTTTTTGGCAAGTTGTCCCTGTGATTTCATTCATGAAGATAATATGCTATAATATGGAAGAGAAAACTGCATGATTTAAATTGTCCCTGAGTCTTCTGTTAAAACACAGAGACAGCTAGCCATTACAGGGGTAAGAATCTTTCATGCAGATTCCTCTCAGAAACCAGAATCAAAGAAAAACCTGCTGCCATGGAGGTCCAGGGGAATGTTTTGTTCTGAACTTTCTCTGAAGTCAGTTGACTTTGTGTATTAGATGTACATAGAATCAGATGTTTCTGCATTTGGTAGTAGCTTTTGCCCTGTCTGCCAGTTTGATCAAGCTTTTTCTTTAATCATCTTAGGAAAATATGTTGTGCTTCCTTCCTAGTTAATGTAGACATTGTATTGTTTCTGTCTGGTTGAGCCCTGAGTTAGGTAGTTACTGAAGAGCAGCACAGAAGACACTTAGCACTCAGTCTGCACCCTTAGCAGCTTGCATTCAGACCAGGGGAAGTTCAAACTGCAGGTCACACTCGACGTGTGACTGCCATAAATTAAAAATTAAAACCACCTTAGAGTAAGAAATGAATAGCTACAGGGCCAAATTCAGAAACACATCTGAAAACCCTTTCATAAGAATGAAGTAGGTCATTTCCAAATAAGTGTTTCTCTTTTTTAAAGTACATATCCAATTAAGTATTTTTTTGTTTGTTTGTTTGCTTCTTGAAAAAGAAAACGGCAAGGTTTTTCTTATCTGATATCTAAGAACTCAAAACCCAGTTTTCCTTGTTACCCTCAGGTTCACATTATTATTTTGGCTTTCATAATCTAATATCATAAGCTTTTTTTTGCGTAATGTGGATCAGATCACATAAATAAAGAAAATGAGTGCAGCCCTTATCCTTCAGTCCTATTCGTAGAATATGGCAAATTGGAGCAACACCATAGCACGTGTTTTCAGGTTCTTAAATACAAAGGAAAGAAGTACACCTGAGTTTAAGACTGACTCTCTAACATGAACATCTATATTACACTAGAAAGCTTTCCTCCACAGAGAGCTATTTGCTCTCCAGGGTCTTGGCTACTGGCTCTTACTCTGTGCAATTGATATTTGCATGATGCAAGGGATATATGCTTGTCTGCTTTTAGGGATGCATTCAACAAATATCAAGCACCCATAGTATGTATAGCACTATGCTAGTGCCTATGGAGCCAGAAAATCCATTTAATCCTTTAAAAATATGTTTGAGCGAAGACTAGGTTATGTACATTGGAACTCAGTAGCAGGAGATGCTGTGTAGTTAAGGCTGATTCAGTGGCATAGGCAGAAGCATGAGGA